AATGTGGATCTGTCAACAAGGTTAAAAGCATTGGAGAAGTCCACAGTAAGCATGGAAAGAGACCCGTCATTGTGGCGCTCACTCAACACCCTGTTGGCGCTATGTAATACGGCTTCAGTGCCGTCAGACACCCCGACCCCGAACTGAAAATCATTGAGATACTTGGCCATTTCTTTACCAACACCTTTCATAGCCAGCTTGGAAACCAAACGTCTCCATATAGTGCCTACTGCAATAGGTCGTATTCCCTTGTCAGGTTTTAAGAGCGGTGTAAAAGGAGCAGATGCAACAAATTCTGCTAAACTCAAAGGGCATCTTCCCCCTAGCCACAGATTAACCACACAAGTAATAGCACATAGGAGGTCTTTGGCTATAGCCGAACCTTATTCACAAAGAGCATCTAAAATGTGTTGAGCTCTTAACCCATCTCTCCCACACGAGGTTCCTTTAGGGAATGATTTAATGCCCCCAAGGACATTGTCAATATCCACCACAAGGGAAGGTACTAAACATATGGTACTCGGAATGGACGGTGGTGGCTTGTATGGATGCTTATCCTCCAATGCCTTCATGGTAGCATCTCCGTATGGAGCAACCCCCGAGGAATATAATACTTTCACTGCTGCTGTGAAATGCTCATCTGCAACCTTACGGAATGATTTAATGCCCCCAAGGACATTGTCAATATCCACCACAAGGGAAGGTACTAAACATATGGTACTCGGAATGGATGGTGGTGGCTTGTATGGATGTTTATCCTCCAATGCTTCCGTGGTAGCATCTCCGTATGGAGCAACCCCCGAGGAACATAATACTTTCATTGCTGTTGTGAAATGCTCATTTGCAACCTTACGAAGACATTGCCTGATGTTGGTGTCGCCATGTGTTCTATCCTCATGAATGTACTATTTTTTTGTCTTGTTGCTCCAGCCTTATGTTGTCAACCACCGTCATTTGTACCCCAAGTAGCTAATGTGCTTAGGATGTTACGATGTTGCAAGGACTTCCTATTCCCAGACCTACTTTTTTGCCTATTATTGGGCCTGGACATCTGAAGAGTACACCTAGGAAGAATTAACAATGTAACCCACGCTTCAACGGATCCGAGATGAGCAGCCACCTTGGAAAGGGTTGCTTTCAAAGCCTAAGAGAAAGTCATACGGCAGTTATGAGGGATGTTTTTTCCTGTGGTGATAGGTAGCTTAAAAACAAGATCAAGGAGCTAAGCATCCAACACCAACCCCTCATTAAGGTCGGCCTCTGGTTCATTGGGTGGCGGCTTTTGAATACCAACAATATGTCCGCTCATGTCATCAACCTCGCCATTAAATTTAACAAAATCATCTGAGTGGTGACACGAGCGGATTAGGGCATGTAGACTCATAAAATCCCCACATATCCATTGACCGAACTCCTTCAATGTTGCTGCCACTAACATAAACAATCCAAGGTCTATAGAAATAGCCTCTCGCAACATAGCTCTACGCTCATCCGTAGGGAGGTGCAAGCTCTTGATATGAGAAATCATACGAGAGATCCCCTTACCGCCCACTTCAACATTGGATTTTTATTGGTATTTAGATTATAAGTGAAGTCTAAAGGATCTAACGAAATTTGTAATTTGACAGTTTGTTAGTTTTAACTACGAAAACAAATATAAGTAGACATCTAAAGTTTTCAAACATGAATGTTGCCTAAACAGTAAAGCATGTGTATTTACAACTCTTTGTTGGGGCTAACCATGAACTAAAATGACCAAACTAACCTTTGAACACGTACTCCACAATATGCAAATTTCTTTTTGAGATGGTAAAATTTGTTCAATAACGCAAACATTTGCATCGTGTTTTGTTTTTTGGTTCAAGTGCTAGGGCAAAAAATAAACTTACTGTATTTTCTTATAATAGTCGATGGTAAAAATTAGATTTATCTAATTTTGTTCAATGTTAAATACATACAACTTAAAGGACTTAAGGAACTTTAGTACGCCGATTTTAAATTTTCTATACATAATAGGGTCAACATTGACGTGAAAAAATATTATAGAAGATCGATGTTAGAAAAGATTTATTCAATCACTTAAAACCCTAACCACAAGTGTGTTTGTAGTTTCTAAAACTCGATTTTCAGCATATTCCTACGACAAAAAATTATGTGATAATGTTGACCAAAAAGATAGAATACTGTTTGATGAAAGGGGAACACAACGGTCATCGAGCATTGTTGTATGGTTAAGTCATATAGTTGGAGGACATGATTGTGAAGGGGAACATAACAGGTTAGGCACAACCTGATTGGGAGCTATTGTCAAGTCCTTTATGAGCCCATGACAAAGCAAAACCATTTGGCATGTGTATTTTGGAATGTTGGTCTTGGTGTCAAAAGGGAGCATAGGGATGCCGCACTAGCATGATGACCATAAACACTCAATATGTAACACGTTGTTTCAAAGTTTAATTCGAAAGTGCAAACAGAAAGAAGACATTGCATGGTGGCAGGGGATAAAGGTGTAGTGCTCAAAAGTGATATGTCAAAAGACAAAATTACAAGTGTTCAAAAAAAAGTATGATGTCAAGATTCTCTTTCCAAAGGCCCGAAATTTGATCTGCAAGCATTTCAAACTTTTTCACAATATAATAGTTTGAAAGTTTAGTTCGAAAGTGCAAATAGAAAGAAGACATAGCAAGGTGTGAGAAAGATAGAGGGGAGGTGGTGGTGGTGGTGGTGGGGGGGGGGGGGGGGGGGGGGGGGGGGGGGGGGGGGGGATAAAGTTATAGTGAAAGAAGTGGTATGACAAAAGACAAAATTCCAAGTGTTCAAAAAAAAATGTGATGTCAGGATTCTCTTTCCAAAGGCTTAATGTGTGAAGGCAGTATTTAATCTGCAAGCATTTCAAACTTTTTCATAATATAAAAAAGTCGAGCAATTTTTCTCCTCGAACATGATGACTAGTTGCAAGTAGGGTGTGGGAAATGTCATTTGTTTGGACTAGGGATCAAAGAAAACGCATTAGTCGTAAGATGTCATTTGTTTAGACAATGTTATGATCAAGTTGTACAAGTCCTCTGAAGAGGACCATAATAGGCTAAGCACGACTTGTCGGTAGTTTATCATTGCTTCCTTAATGTGTCATTGGCAAACATATGTGTAAAGGTTGGTTTTGGGATCATAGTAGGTGGCTGGCCAGGGTAGCACACATACATTAAGAGAGTGTTTAAATCTCAATTTGTGTCGATACGCAATCGTAAATGCAACATGTATACAGTAACTTTAAGTTCTATGTGTATTTCAATTATTTTTAGATAAGACACTTCGATGCTCGCACAATATCACGTGTCTTGTAATTTATGGGTATGATTTTTAGCAACTAGCTTGAGATAAATGATATCACGTGTCATGTAATTTACAGTTATGTTTACATGACAATAATATGTTACAAAAGAAGTGTTCTGGTACACACCGCTTTCTAGCCAGTTTCATTTACTTTATTTTCGTCATCTGCGGTTTTCAATCCACAGTTTTCAATGCACGGTATCTATGACATCAATGGAAAACTCCCAACAACTTTTATTTATTCTCACCGGTTTTACAAGATTTAGCTTATATACAAAAAAAATAATAAAAAATAAAAACTAATAATAATAATCACCTGCAACAAACTCATTCTACACATAACACCTACGCAAAGATTAAATGAAGGTAAAATGTCGAAAATACTCTTTTATATATGTATATATTTTTACCCATAGATAATGTAATAAAGGAGATTTACCAACTTTTTAGTAATTTCTTTCTACTTACATAACGTAATAAACACTATTTACCAATCCCATATCTTTTAGTCGTATCAACCGCACCAAATTTGCCAACCTAAATTAAGTTAACATGGATGGCCAAAATAAAATAATCAATGACAAAAATGTCACATTCCAACTATTAAACTTATGCAAAATAATTTGCTCCAGATTTAAATAAACTAAAATATATTGTATTTAATATGATTCTGTAAATAGAGATTTACTCATTATAATCATTAATACACGGGTAAATACAGTAACATTTTGTCTGTTTTAGCAATAAAAACATAGTAAGTTCGATTAAGGGTAGTAAAGTAATTTTCACTTTTAACTTATGGACCTTTGAGGTCCGAAAGGTGTTTGACCATGAAGAGTATGCCCCTATGAACAGCAAGACTTGCCCACTGTGTTTCATATACATTAAGATTAATATATTTTTATTTGTATTATTATTATTATTACTATTATATATATATATATATATATATATATATATATATGCACTGTTTATCTTGTATATATATGCACTGTTTATCTTGTGAGCACTCTCTTGTTTGGTTAAACAAAAAAAATAAATAGAGAGAGAAAGAGGAAAGGCTGACTTGGCTCTCGGACATTGACTTGTTCTCCGGCGAATTACACCACCGGAGATGGCGGACCCAGAGATCGGTGAGCTGAGCTTCACCTGATACATGATTTTACCGATTCTTTCTGATACGTTGCATTTTTTTCTCTCAATTTAATGTTTTTTGCAACGAAAACCCCAAAGAAGTAGGTGTGATTCACATTTTCCACCAACGGGATTCTACTCGGATTTTGTGGGGTTTTAATCCGATTTCTGTAATCAAAATTGAAACCCCCATTTTACAATATTTGGAATTAAATCCTCTAAATTTACTCAGATTTACCAATTATGCTGTTTTCGATTTGGTTGTTTCGATTGACTTACATCTTCTTTCTCTCTCATGTTTTTTCTTGGATTTTTTATGGCAAATTGTTTGCTGATAAGCAAAGCTACCTGGGATTTTCATAAATTAATTTTATCAGTTTTTGTTGGCATTAATTGCTTGCATGCTATTTCTGTTTTGATTCTCATGACTATTAACCATGACTATCTGTAATTGTTATTCAATTGTACATAATAGGTGAAGGATCATTTCTATGAGAAAATGCATTTGGGGGTTTTTGGCAGGTTAGCAAGGAATGAGAATTAGGGTTCTTCAATTGAAATCGGAATCCACACTTCTCTTCAGGTCTCAATAATTCTTCAATTAGGGTTTATACAGGCAGAAACGAGTTAAAGTTGCCAAATTTTTCAGTGATCGTGTGAGATCAGGCATGAACTATGAGAGAGGTTTTCCACTCCCTCATTATGAAAACAGTAATTCATGGACTCTGGCAACAGGAATTCCACCGGAAAACGGAATTGGGCCTCGTAGGGGCTCTTGGACTGCAGCCATGCTTGGAGGACCGATTCCAGGGGTTGGTGGCTTAGGTGAGACTCAAGAAAGAGCAAATCCTGTGGATGATGAGGTTATTTGTGGTAAGGAATCGGAATCATGGATGGCGATTCCAAGGGGAAATGGGATTATGGGTCATAGGGATTTGTTGACAACTATCCATCAAAAGAACGGCTTTGTGCCAAATGGGCAGAATTGGAATCCGGTTATACCCGGTGGAAGTTCTTGGTCTCCGGTGACTCCAGGAAAACCGATCTCTCAAAGATCAAATTTGATTACTGTCAACAAACCCACAAATCAAATTGAACAAAATGAGAATTGGAGGGATTTGGTTGGAATGTACAAAGATTTATTGCGAAAAGAAACACTAAATTTGAATGAAGTTGCTCAAGAAATTTACCCGATTCAAAACAATGGAAATCAAAATCAAAACCGTGTTGAACAAAGGAACTTGATCCCAATTCTAAATTCAACCCCGATTCCAACCCCAAACCCAAACCAAAACCATGATTCCAATCCAGTCTCATACTTCCCTTACGAAGACCGGAATTGGGACAATAATCTTTTGTCAGCTATAGTGAGACCCAAGAAAAGCTCGGAATATTTTCCTTTTATAAACACACCACAAAACAATGGTGTTCATGATCTGAATATAATTCCCGTTTCAGATTCAACTACTCAAGTTCAAAGTAACTTTCTGCTAAAAAATCAGCAATCCCCCACATTTGCTTTGGACATGATCAATGGTTACAACTCAAAGCAATTGCCTTCAGGTGATCTATCCTTCTATTTTCTTAAGTTTTTAGTATTTTATTAATTAAATAATAAAAAAATTTGTCATGTCATCATAATTTAAATCAGGCAGCAGGTTACGTATTATTGTAACGAGTATATTATTCAACAATAATAAAAAAATAATTTGAAAGTACATTGCTATTTCTTGCATTAAACCATTTTTTCAACAGATGGATTTCCAGTCCCTTACAGGCCCTCTTACAACCTAAACTCACCACCAAGATCAGAACTAGATGCCGCCTCTGGTGTCACGGGCCCGCTTCCATTTGCTCCAATTACTCCAGATACCGGGAGAAAACAAATTGAAAATCAATGGGTACCCGCGAATAATACGCGAGAAAGTCAAAGTCAGAGTCGAAGTCGAAGTCAAAGTCAAAGAAATGAAAACACAGATAACCATGATAGCGAGCTGTTACATAACATTGTGGAATCCACATCATCTGCGGTTTCAACAACACAAAAAGATCCATTACTTTTCGAGGAAAGGGGCGAATTGGGTATCGACTTAAACAAAACACCCAACCAAAAGACGCCAGCAAGGCGGAAAAAGCACCGCCCGAAGGTCATTAGAGAAGCAAAGCCTAAAAAGACTAAAACGCCCAAAGATCCCACCGAGACCCCGGTTAAAAGGAAGTATGTGAGGAAAAAAGCTGTGGATGTTTTGGAAAGTCCACAAGGAAATGAGGTTCGTGTTAAAAGAAAGTATGTGAGGAAGAAGGGAGTCGAAAACACAGACAGTAAAAAAACCGATGTGGAAGAAGTTACGGGGACCGTTGTCATGACCCCGGTCAAATCGGTCAAGAAAAAATTGAATTTTGACTTGGAGGAAAGTCAAATGAGAGAGGGAGAACACGGTGGTGGTATTAACTTGAATGTGAATCCACAGGATATAGAACAAGAAAGAAGGATTAACAGTGTACTCGAGAGATCAGCAATGAAAGTAGCACAAAACAATGTTAATGATCCAGCTATTCATATGGCTAAAGCAAGAGACCATGCTTTGAATGTTCTTGCAAGAAATTTGACAATGAAGAATGGATATAATAACCAGGTGGGTCAAATGGTCAACTTGGATGAAAGAAGAGGGATAAAAAGACAGTTTTATGAGCAAGTAAATCCTCGTATTCTAAATGCAATGGATTCTCTTGTAATGTACCAGAAACTATTGTTAGGGGGTGATGTTCGTGTTGACCGTGGTCAAGATTTAGCTAGTATTAATCACTTGGAAAGTCATAAGAAAACCAAGACACAAAATGACGGTTTCGCCCCTGAAGATAACTCAAGAGCCTATCCAAGTGTCCCGGCTTTGCAGTTACTAAATTCTTGCAGTCAAAGAGTAGTCAACCCGCCTTATCACACGATGAATGGTGGTGGTGGGAATATTACCGGTGGCCATTTCCGGCCACCCGTGGCGGCTGTTTCGCAAAATTTACAGAAGCATCCGGAAGCTTCTGGAATAACTCAAAGATCGATTCAGGGGGGTAGAGTTAATCCTGTAACCGCAATGGTTAGCTGGAATCGACCGCCTGCTACTCCACCGAAAGATCCCCTTAGATCTGCAGTTGTAACTTACCCTGGTACTATGATAGATAAAAAGAAGACCACAACACAAAAATCGTCCAATCAAATTCAAAGGTCAAATTTGGAAGTTCATCAGCAATCAACAAAGCCAAAAGGTAAACGAGTTTTTAAAAATGTTTAAATAAAAAACTAATGATTAAAAAGTTAAACAAAATTTGTTATTATTTGTGCAGGCGGGAGAAAACAGAAGGTTGCAGTTGCGGTTTCGGTTTCGGTTGAGGATGTAACGGGTATGTTAGAAGCACTATGTATATATGATGAGAATAAGAAAATGCAGAATGCAATTGTTCCATTCAGGGGTAGTAATGTCATTGTTCCATTTGAGCCTATTAAGAAGAGAAAGCCACGACCAAAGGTGGATCTTGATCCAGAGTCGGATAGACTTTGGAGACTTTTGATGGGTAAAGAAGGGAGTGAGGCCAATGAGACTTTGGATAAAGATAAAGAAAAATGGTGGGAAAATGAAAGGCGAGTGTTTTGTGGTAGAGCAGACTCCTTTATTGCCCGTATGCATCTCGTTCAAGGTATAAAAAATAATAAAAAAAAACGTATCTTTCTATAGTATAAAACCTGAATTATAAGCATGTAAATAACTATAGGATCATGTTTATTGGAAAACTCAATCTCAGCCCTTGGATGAAATTAATCTGATGGCCAAGATTTGTAACTGCCCAACCGCTTTGTAACTGCCTAACTGCTTTGTATAACTTTCAGGGGATAGACGATTCTCGCGATGGAAAGGATCTGTGGTTGACTCAGTAATTGGTGTGTTCCTAACACAAAATGTTTCAGATCATCTTTCAAGGTATACTCAAAGTCTGTATGAGGTGTTTTTTTCTAGATTAAATAAACCATCTGAATGAAACTAAATGACCAATTTACCCTTCACATCTCAAGGGAAACAAATTTCACAATATTTATTGAAATTAACGTTAGATAAGTTAGGAGAAAAAAAAAACAGATGTCTTAATACATTAAGGCATGTTTTTTGCTTAACCCATTAAGTCAAAAAAGAAACAGCCCTAAATACCTTGAAAGTAATAATTAAATTAATTATTTTGTTGATTTTCAATGTCTGCAGTTCGGCGTTCATGTCTCTTGCAGCAAAATTCCCATTTAAAACAAGCACAAATGAGACACGCTGCCAAAATGGGACCCGCATACTGGTTGAAGAGCCGATTGAATCCATAGTAGAAAAACACAACAGAACATCGGAATCAGTGATTCTATCTCAAGATTCCCTTGATTCTTGTACAATTCAAGCTGTTGATGAAATTAGATCGAGTTCGGGATCAAATTCGGAAGCAGAAGATCAAATAAGCGGATTCGAAACCAGTAAAAATCCGATTCAACCAGAGAAAGTTAACATGTTCAATAAACTATTCAGTCATGACAACATGAACACCGCCAGGTCACAATACATACATGATGTTGAAATACCAAAAACACCCCTGAGTGGGTCCCTTGGTTTTGGGTTGTTAGGAGGAGAAAGCATATCTTCATTGCCTTCGATTAAGTCAGGATACCATAATACAAGTAATATAAGTTTTCAACAACAAAATGAAGCGAATTCAAAGGAGGTGAATTACACTTCTCCTGAACGTTTAAATACAGCAGCCACAAAAATCTCAAGGGAAAGAAAGGGAGCAATTGAAGATGAAAAGAAGAAGTCGTTTGATTGGGATAGTTTGAGAAGAGATGTGTTATTGAAGTGTGAAAAGGGAGAAAGAAGTAAAGATGCCAAAGATTCACTTGATTATGAAGCGTTGAGACGTGCACATGTGAATCAGATTTCAGATGCTATTAGGGAGCGTGGCATGAATAACTTGCTGGCTGATAGAATAAAGGTGATAATAAATTAATATTTTATTAATTTCACATATGAACTAAATAATAGATAGCATTACAATTGCTGTAAGTTATTATTAATATTAATATAATATAATAAACTATGCAGGATTTTCTTGACCGGCTGGTGAGAGACCATGAGAGTATTGACCTTGAATGGTTGCGGGATGTACCACCAGATAAAGCAAAGTAAGTGGTAGAGAGTAAATGACCATTTTACCCTTACATGCCAACAAACATATTTCACAATATTGAAAAGAAACAACCATTTATAGCTGTCTGTCTGAACAAAGTGCTTAACCCAATTAAATCATTAAGTCAAAAAGAAACAACTCCTAAGCCCTCTAATTGCAAGAATTATGACAGATGAGTTATAAAAGTATTCATAAATTAAATCTTATATATTATGTGTTCTGTTATCTATACTAATATAGTATTATATAAAAATGCAGGGATTATTTGCTAAGTATTCGTGGATTGGGGCTGAAAAGTGTGGAGTGTGTGCGTCTATTAACACTTCACCATCTTGCCTTTCCGGTATGTCATCAGTAAAGCAATGAATATAAAATAAATAAATAAATAAAGGAACTTTAGGTATTGGAAGAGACTTTATTAAAAAATATATCTTTTTTTCAGGTTGACACAAATGTTGGAAGGATAGCAGTGAGACTGGGGTGGGTCCCACTCCAACCACTACCAGAATCTCTCCAGCTTCATCTCTTGGAGATGTAAGTAATACATATAAATAAACAAATAAAGATATATTGTTTTTGTTAAAAAAAAAAAACTTCTAAACTTACTTTTTCACACAGGTATCCCGTGTTGGAGTCGATTCAGAAATATCTCTGGCCTAGACTTTGCAAGCTGGATCAGTTGACATTGTAACCAACCTTACCCTAAAATCATTCATATCAAATTATCAACAAAACAACATTTAAAACATTAGTTTTATGTAAATATCATTTTATGAAAACTTTAAGCTAATTAACGTATGCTTAAATAACAGATACGAGCTACACTACCAAATGATCACATTCGGAAAGGTAAGAACCATTCTAACTTCATTAAAAAGAGATATGAAGTTTTTGATGTCTTAATTAATTAAAAAAATTGCAGGTTTTTTGCACGAAGAGTAAGCCAAACTGTAATGCATGTCCAATGAGAGCAGAGTGTCGTCACTTTGCAAGTGCTTTCACAAGGTAAAGTATATAAACATATATTCAGGTGCTCTGAATGTGTTCAGATGATAAAAAGGACATTTAACTATAGTGCCACACTTGTATTAAGCAATGAGCATAGTGAAATTGTTTCAAATATTATAATAACATAAGTGATATCTAAATGATGCAGTGCAAGGCTTGCTCTACCAGGACCTGAAGAAAAGAAAATAGTACCTTCTGTACCAAATGCAACAGAATCAAATCCAATCCCCCCTCTATTCACTACACCCATGTCATTACCTTCATCTGAAAACAACTACACTTCAAATACACAATCTTTTGGGAGACAGTGTGAACCAATCATTGAAGAACCAACAACTCCAGAGCCAGAAACCGCAGAATTATCATTAAGTGACATTGAAGATCAATACTATGATGATGATGATGGAGATGGAGATGAAATCCCAACTATCAAACTTGACATGAATGAATTCACAATGAACTTACAGAAAATGCAAGAAAGTATGGACATTCAAGGTGATATGTCAAAAGCTTTAGTTGCTTTGAATCCACAAGCTGCTTCTATACCTACACCAAAGCTTAAAAACGTTAGTCGGCTTCGAACTGAGCATCAAGTGTAAGCCTTTTATATTCCCATTAAAAGATTGTGAAAATTAACAACATGCATAAATAAATAAATAGATTCAATTTAATTTACTCTATAACTATGGTGCAGGTATGAGCTTCCAGACTCTCATCCAATTTTAGAAGGGGTTAGTATTACGACTTTCTTGTACACGTGTCATTATGTTACATAAACTAAAAAAATATTTCATTTTTTTCAGTTGGATAGAAGAGAACCGGATGATCCAAGCCCTTACCTCCTTGCAATATGGACGCCAGGTCAGCATGTTTTACTAATTATCATTTACAACCCACTATTTACATTATAACCTTGGTAAATTCCAAATTTACCCTTGTAATCTGATAATTGAACATCAACTTCCAGGTGAAACTGCAAATTCCATGCAACCTCCTGAAAGAGGGTGTCAGGCGCAAGAAACAGGTGTATTGTGTGATAGGACAACGTGTTTTTCATGCAACTGTATCAAAGAAGCAAATGCACAAAGGGTTAGAGGGACTATTTTGGTGAGAACATTTTTTTACTTTCAAGAAACTGTAAATAACTAAATATTTAATCAACTTATGTTTTACATATGTGGCTACTTTCAGATGCCATGTAGGACAGCAACACGAGGGAGTTTTCCACTCAATGGCACATACTTTCAAGTTAATGAGGTATGTTAGAGTTTTGAAACTTAGTTTTTACACATGTAATAAGTCCAGATCATGAGATTAGTCAGCGCCATGTCATCGATCTATGTGCAGATGTTTGCTGATCATGCATCAAGTTTGAATCCAATTGATGTTCCAAGGGCATGGATTTGGAATTTGCCAAGACGAACAGTGTACTTTGGGACTTCTGTATCAACAATCTTCAAAGGTATCAGTAATTGGGATATACTTTTTATTGCATATCTATTAGGGTTTGATTGGTATATTGGAATCATGGAATGGAATTACAAAGGAATGGAATGGATCATTACATTCCATTATCATGTTTGGTTGACTTGAAATTTGAAAGAATAGAATAGATCATTCAAGGATGTTTGTAATTAAAAAATTATTTTAGAAAGTAAAAAGAAATTAGATATCAATATATTCCATCTCATTTGAAATATAATATGTATATATTTCAAAAAGTCAAAAAAAATGTATTCACCACTTTGAAAAAATTGTATACAAAACTAGAAATTTAGATACCATGAAATCTTAGAATAGAACTATAAAGGAAAAAAGCACTTTTAGTTATTTTCTAAAAATAACAAAAAGTAATGCTTAGGTCTCCATACATTTTAATACAAGCAATTAATTAAACTATGAAAACTGGTTCTTGTAGGGCTGACTACTCAAGAAATTCAACAATGCTTTTGGAGAGGTATGTAGTATTTCAATTCTTAATGCTTTTCAAATAATATCAATTATTAGCTTAATGATATGACATGGAAACATTTGCAGGGTTTGTTTGTGTGAGAGGTTTTGATCAGAAAACGCGGGCCCCAAGGCCTCTAATGGCAAGATTGCATTTTCCAGCAAGTAGACTAGTCAATAAAAAGAATGAAGACAAATAGGTTCTCAAGGGCAAAGAGGTCAATGACTAACAAACTGTTGTACATTCATCTATCCATCATTTAACATGACCCATGGCATCATGCATTTTGCATGTAACTTAGACAGGAGAGAAAGAGAGAAAAAAGTTGAGTGATAGTGGTATCATCCACAAACCACCTGCAATTAGTTGATACAAGATTTCTAGTATCATAAAATTTTCGTTTTTCTTATGCTCCAAAACGAGCCATTTTTTATCAGTTAGAACATTACAGAAGAAAGAAGAAAGAGATTAGTTGAGCAGTAGTTATTTTTCTTTTTCTGATTAAGTTATGTATTTTCAAACAGCTTTGAAATAATATGATGATCTATATCAGAAGCCATTGCTTCAAACATTAGTCACCATATACATGTTTTGGAAATGAAAGAAAAGCTTCTTAATTTGACATATTTTTGGTTGAATTACAGAATAGATAGTTTTTCAATTTTTTGTTAGGTCATCAATTCATTAAAGATGATATCATTCACTAAAAGACTTAAAGTTGTAGGACCATTAAAAAAGGGGGGAAGTACTTTCTACTATTATTATTCTTGCAACTCATGTGGTCCAAGAATTTGACTTTCTTTCATAAAAAAATACCAAAAAACTATTTGGTTATAAAGAAAATAAACAAGTCAAATCATGAAAACTGAAGTCCAAAAAGAATCATCCTACTAGATAGTTTTGTTTAAAATATGTCATTTTCATAAATGATAGTTTTTTTTTTTGTATGTTTAACAAAAAGAATGAACTTATAAAAAACAACTTTCCCCATTACGATCATCAGATCTGTGCAATATAAAATCTACTCATCGCCATTATGAGACAACTGCCACATGGAAGTTGATTGTTTATTATTCATCCCATCACGTTTTGTTTACCCCATCTCCACACTGTTCCACCACCCTCAATCGATCACCTTATGCTTGAATGAATGTGTGCAAGATAAAAGTAATACACATCATTAGAAAGCCTAAATATATACACGCAAAACTAAAATTCTTCAGGGCTAAACAAAGAATGAAGAATACGATCCTGAAAACAGATATACGGTCACTTTTCGAACTATTAAACACGGTGAATCACGAATATGATCAACAACATAGCGATTGCGATCAATCAAATCGATTCAAATATAAACTATACAATAATTTATAATTAAGTAATCACAGAATATGGAGAATTTACCTTATAAGCATCACAAAGAAGAACTAAATTCTGCAGAAAGATCCAAATCTGGACACGAGAGAAAAAGTTGGATTTAGTATGTATTTGGATTTTGGGTTGCCGCCTTTTAGGTTTCCTCCCTGTTTCCGCGCAGGTTTATATAGTCTTTAGATATTTACATTAACACCCATTGATTATGGTATAGTGACAAGTTTCCTTTAATGTTAATGTATTTTCAAAAAAGTTTAATTATATTTTAATAAAAATGGACACCAATACAAGTTTTGTTATAATGTAAGCATGTTAGTTACATTATTGTCTTTTTTTAGAGTTCATAGTTTTTGTTGTGTAAACTTGTATTGGTTTGTTCGTAATGTCTTTACTTTGTGTGTGAGTCAAGTTGCGATCTCGCACTTTTTGTTGCCTTAAGTTCGCAGCTTAGTTGTTGACTTGAGATGTCTTTCTTATATTCTTATGATGCATATATATATAGGAATATTAGATAGAATAACGGGTAAGAGTTTTACATATAGAATAGTTATTTACGTCTTATCGAATTGTACTGACTTACCCGTTAATGAAATTGAAATCTTATTTACATCGTGTGTTCTTGTGAATTTTATATTTGTTTGAATCGTGAATCTAAATGTTCCTTCAATTGGTATCAGAGCGGGAGATCATTTGAACTTTTTTCAGATATGTTCATCGTGTTCATCATGTTCATCGAATTCTAGATTTGTTCTTCATTTTGCAAATTGCTTTGCAAATTGATCTTTAATTCTTTTTTTTGAGTTGTTTAATCTTCTCTTTTTCAAGTTCATTGATCTGATTCACACCAAATTTCACTCAAAATGTCAAAACAGGATTCACACTTCGTCACATTCAACCTTCCAAGCAGTATCGGTTCCACATCGAGAATTTTTGTTTTGTTTCCTGATGTAACACCCGATTCAAGGTATTTTTCATTTTGACCGTTGGTGTGCAATTAGTTTTCAAATTTGGTCCCTATGGGCATTATTGTAATTTTTGGGAAAGGGGAGCGTATGTTGGACATACCTCTTGTACGCGGGGCATACGTAATCAGGGGACAAACCCTAATTTTAGGGTTTGGACCCTATTTAAGCAACCTTATGCCCAAGGTTTTCTCCTTACCAGCCTCCTTAGCCTCTTTTGAGTCCCATTTAGAAACTCTAAACCATTTCAAAAGAGAGTTGGCATTTGTGTGTGTTTTGGTGTGTGTTTGGTGTATCTCTAAGAAGAAGAAGCTTGGTTGAGGAGCATTGGTCAAGGAGGAGCTTGTAGATCCAAATTCCATTCATCATTTTCAGCTTCATAAAGGTATAAAGATTTGATCTTGCTCATTCTATGCTTAAATCTAGATCTAGTAGAGTTTTTGTCACTTTTTGTTCCCATAAATGAGATGTAGTGAGAATTTACCACTCCGGAAGTTATGAGTTTCTGCTCTTGATGTTTCTGAGATCCCTAGTCTACAAAGTTAGCATATTGATGGTTGAGGATCAACCATGCATGAGTACATGCCCATTTGGTGAAAGTAGGATGCTAAATTTAAGGTTTGAGTCCATTTGAGCCATGCAAAGGCATCAAGTTAGTGACTTTATGGGTTAAGACGTTCCCCAAGGTTTGGATCTGAAATATAGACAATTGATCTTAAGCATTAAGTGCTTAATGGACAAAAAGGCTGAATGAGGGCGTACACAAGCGTACGCGTCTGGATCCCCGACTATGTGTAGCAACCTAGTACGTCGGGCGTATTAGGGGTACGCTTAGCGTACTCGACCAGAATGGGCTTTTGACTCTTGGGTCGCTATTAGACTTTAGGGTTTTAGGCCCTTGTTGGGCCACAAGACTTTCTGAGATTGGGCCACTGTTAGGCCTTGGGCCTTCATGGACTTGAGCCCATATTGGGCCTTGAGTCTCTTTTAGGAATTAGGCCATTATTGGGCTTTTTGTGCCATTGAGTTTAGGTCACGACTATGAGTTGAAATAAACTCGGGGGTGAAATAGACCCGATACAGCCTTAGGCTGGCATATGAGTTTAAATAGACTCGAAGGTGAAATAGACACGGTACAACATTGAGTTGACGTATATGTATGGTATGCGGTATTTTGGGGGACCCACTAAGCTTTGTGCTTACGGTTTTCAGTTTATGTTCCAGGTACTTCTGGTTCGAAGGGGAAGAGCTTGGGATGAATGCATTGCACACACCATGATTTTCCACTTATTTGACTCTGGTGTACTTTTGGGATGTTTATGGTTACTCTCTAAATACTTTATGGTTTTGACAAACATGTTTGGTTGATAGTTTATTTAATATAAAAACAAAATTACACCTGAAGACTATGAAGTTTGGGCTATTCATTTTGAAAATTATGTTATAGGGATTGAAACTTATGGATCTATGTGACATCCTATTTTCACGGCTAGAAAAAACCGATTTTGTTTATGCTTTATAAAAATCAGAGTACTTCTTTTGATAAAAAAATGTTGCGGAATTTGTTCCCAGTAAAACATGATAAATACGTTATCAATAGCATTTCCGAAGAAATGTATTTTTTATTCATTTTAAAACATTTGGGATGTCATTGTCAATACAGAAACATAAGCATAAACAGAACTCACATTCATTTACACTAGTGATCTACATCTCTTTAATCTCTTAGTGTAATGTAACTTTATATCGACACCTGTGATACAAATAAGCTTTAGTGGGTTAGGTTGGGAAACCTGGTGAGTACATAGGGTTTTCAACCCACAATAATATAATTATTTTGTTTAATCGTCAAACAATTAACCCAATTACCCATCCCCATTATCTTCGTTATTCTTAAGGGTCTACCCTAAGAATCATCTATCCTGCATTCGTTCATTCCGAAGTCCATCGCTTCCAGGGTTCATATGACAGGCACTAAGTCCATAGTTGCCAATGCTCGTTCGTAAAGCACTAATTCCATAGTTGCTAAAGTTCATTCATTGGGTACTAAATCCATAGCTACCAGTGTTTATCTAATAGGTACTAAATCCATAGCTACCAACGTTTATCTAACAGGTACTAAGTCCATAGCTACCAACGTTTATCTATCAGGTATTAAGTCCATAGCTACCAGCGTTTCTCTAACAGGTACTATGTCCATAGCTACCCGTGTTTATCTAATAGGCACTAAGTCCATAGCTGCTGATGTTATTTATTAGGCACTAAGTCTATAGCTGCCAATGTTTTCTCACACCATCTTTCATCTCTCATTGTTCATCTACCCATGTTTTACCCAACATATTCGTAGATATAAAATACATATACAGTTTAAATCATTTAAAACATGTATAAAATCGTTCATCCAGCATAGAAAGCAAGTATTCAAATAATATGCACACATAGCACGTAATTTATATAAAATACTTCATATTTATGTGTAAGATGAAAGTAACTATGCACTCACTTGTTAAGGTGGTGATTCCGAACTCCGACAGCGCTTCGCTTCTTAAAAATAATTTCCTTCGACGAAACCTAGTATTATTACCACTAGATTTTAGTCTAATATTTACTGTGACTAATTATTATTCTTAGTATTATTATTATTATTGTTGTTGTTGTTATTATTATTATTATTATTATTATTATTATTATTATTATTATTATATAAGCGTTTAAACAATATTTTCCAACCACTATGTACAGATAGAGGCCAGACATAAAACACCGGAGGGCAGGACCATTTTGGCATATAACACTTCTGAAATCCAACAACCCTATGCGGCTCTTTAAACCAGATTCCCCGTACCGCGAGTAGTTAAAAAGATATTATAACGACACTTATATAAGTCATAATAATAGCCCAAATATTTATTATAAGTTCATAATAACAATACTAATTTTAAATATAAGCTATATTAAAATAGGGTAAGTATAACTTACTTACAAGGGGGTTTTAGCTAGGAGTCGGGTTCTGTAGGGGCAGAACTTCGTCGCTGAATCTTTCTAGGAAAGATTCGTGCAGCGCTTCAGCGCTCACCTTACTATACTAAACTACAGAAAGAGAAGTCGAATCACGAGGGACCGAAATGCTCGGAGGATAAGAAGAGAAAGACTCTTGAATAAAGAGAATGGTGCAAGAAATATGAGAGCACAAGG